GCTTATTTATAATCCTTTAGCAAATCACAGTGCCACTGAGGAAGATTGGTTTTTTAAAGGCTATTTTAAATTTAATTATGGTGCTTTTTACCTGTGAAACCTTGTAAAAGAAAAAGGGATTTTTAAATTTTTTACAATATTTTATCAGCGCAGCTAAGTGGTGCAGTGGATAGAGCATCGGCCCTGGATTCTGGAGGATCTGAGTTCAAATCCGGCCTCAGACATAACACTTATAGCTGTGTGACCTTGGGCATTGCCTAGCCAAAAAATAAAATAAAATCATCACCTTAATTTTCAAATTCATGTCTCCTCCTACCCAGAGAGAAGTAACACTTTAACAAAAAATGAGGGTGGGTAAAAAAAAAAAAAAGGTTTGGCAAATCTTACTACCACACCAACTGCTTGTTGGCCGTATTTGTGGTGTTCCACACCCTTAGTTGTTATCTTCTCCCTGCCTTGAGCTGCCCCCCAGCCGTATCCCCACCCCATATTTCTACAAACCAGGGAGGGAAGCTAGGGTGTGCTAAGGCAGCCCTGGAGTCAGGAGAACCTCAGTTCAAATCTGCCCTCTAATACTTACTAGCTGTGTGACCCTGGGCAAATCACTTAACCCCTCCAAAACAAACACACAAACAAGAAAATGGTGTGCTAGAGGCAGACCATTGATTGTTAAATTTTCTGTGTGAGCATGTACACCTTAGAAATTGGAAGACCCTACCAATGGGGCTTGATTTATTGTTTTGTTGACTGTGATGAAGAAAATGCTAATAATGCAGTTTGCATCTTAAAAGTGTGTCATGCCTATATTTTTGTTTTCCCAGAGACTTGGTTGTTGCACAGTTCCCTGCATACTCCTAGAGGGAAATGTGGGAAGTGGACTTTTTAGAAACAGGAGGATATTCTTGAAATCTCCAGTTCCGCTTATCTGTTACTAGGTCAGGTTCTTGAAGGAATGAATGAAAAGGCATTTATTAAATGCTTACCAGGGTCAAAGCACGCTGCTAAGAGCTGGGGATATAAATAGAAAACTAAAGATAAGTTTTTGCTCACAAAGAACTCACATTTTAATGGGACACGGGAAGGTTTTAACTAAGTCAGATGGAAAGGCCCATTAGTTCTTAGGGTACAGCAGTACAACATAGTAATGCATCTTTTCTGATGTCTCATCCACTGACACTCACTGGCCAAGTTACTTACCTGCTATCTGCCCCAGTTTTCTCATCTGTGCAGTGGGGCTAATAATAGCATCTATGGCCAAGGTTTGTTGTTAGGGTAAAATGAGATAATATTTGTAAAACTCTTTGCAAACCTTAAAGCACAACATAAAAGTTAGCCATTAATTGTTATTCTTATGCGGGAGCTGGGTAGGGATGGTGGTGATGGTTTGACTTTCTGGCACACCAGGTTCAACCAGGATCCAATGGCAGAAATGAAACCTTCCTTACCAACAAAGAGCTTACATTCGAATGACTACCTTCTTGGCCCTTTTGGAAGAGATGACTTTTCTTATTTAAGAGACAATAGGAGGAGAAAGTTACTTAAAAGTATAAGCTTTCACTGGCAGCCCCTTTGGGCTTTTGTCTGCTGTTTACTCTGGAAAATCTTACTCTTGTCTAGAAGAATTCTGGAAATGAGAGAAAAAAAGAAGTAGGGTCAGATTAAATAACTCCCAAGGTGAACAAATAAAGGCAGTAACCAAAGTAGTTCTTTAACTCTTTAAAAAAACAACAGGGGGCAGCTAGGTGGCCAGTGGATGGAGCACCGGCTCTCAAGTCAGGAGGACCTGAGTTCAAATCCGGCCTCAGACCAAACATTTGACACTAGCTGTGTGACCCTGGGCAAGTCACTCAACCCCAACTGCCTAAAAAAACAAAACAAAACAAAAAACCCAGTAGTTTTCTGAATGGTATCCATCGATTTATACGGGGTGTCTTCTTACTGAAAGCTCAAGCTTTAGTAGATTAAAATGACACACAGAACTTTGGGGATCCCCTTGTAGAAGAGTTCTTCCATATCTTGTTATGAATGGATGGCTCAAGTTGCAGTGTCTTTAATTTAATGAGATCCATTTCTAATTAAATTAATAGTATTTAGGAACCAGTCTCTTGAAAAACCAGGATGATAGATGTCTTTGAAGTTAGAATAATAATAAATATGGGATAGATACGGGAGACTCTCAATTTCTCCCTGGCATTCGTAATCTTTTGTGTACTTTTTGTACTTAACAGCAAGTGATAGGAGTTTTGTTGGAAATTCTAACCACATAAAAATCCAAGTCAAACCTTCAGTGTGGGTGGTGTTTTTATTTGTGAAAATCTGGATTGTACAACCACAGTTTACTTACTGCGTGAGGGAAGGGAGGGAAAGATCTTGGAACTGAAAAGTTTAAAAAATGAATGTTCAAAATTGTTTTTACATGTAATTGGGGAAAAATAAAATTATTAAAGAATAAAGTCTATGGGTAATAAGCAAGGTACCTACATATCATTATTGATTGATTGGTTGGGTATTTGTCAGAATCTTTCATTAATGAATCACAGGCAAGGTGCTTTAATTGTCTAATGGATGGGAGTGATTCATTTTGTGCTGAGATTGAATATGGATATTTTTATGGTTTTGTGGAGGGTAAGTAGAGGATTTTATGCAAAAAAAAATGTTGAAATTGTATATATCATAGAGATGTCCATTCTCATTGGTAACGTGTACTTTGACCAGAACTGGATTTTGCTGTCTCCAAGTGGGATGTTTCAAAATGTGTTTTGAAGGGCAGCTGGATGGCACAGTGAGTAGAGCTCTGGTCTTGGAGTCAGGAGGACCTGAGTTCAGATCCAACCTCAGACACTTGACACTAACTAGCTGTGTGACTCTGGGCAAGTCACTTAACCCTGATCGCCTCAACAGAAAAGCAAAAAAACAAAACAAAACGTGTTTTGACATGAGGACAAAAGCACTGCACCCTGAGTTGAAACCTGGGTCACCTCCTAGATCTCGTGACTCGATTGTGTGATGTGAACTGAACCTCTCTGGGCCTCAGTTTGCTCAGCTATGTAAAATAAGGGAGTTGAACTAAAGATCTCCAAGGCCCTTTCCAGCTGCTAAAGTTCTGAGATGAACGAATTAATTTCTGTGGCTCATCCAGACAGCATGAAGGAAAACACTTTTGGGCAGGAGTCTTATCACAAATTATATTATTTATACCATGCAACTAATTTTTTTTTTTTTTTAGCCGAGATAGCTGAGCTTCAGCAACAAACTGGCCACATTCTTTGCCTCTAAAAATAAAGATGTGGATCATCATTGTATACAGGACTGTTTGTAGAATTGTTTTTGGACATTATTTTTTTAATTTACACATTTTGTGGCATACTAGGCAGAAGTATGATTGAAAAGGCATAATGTAATTCTTAATGTTCTGCCATGAAAAAACTTGGACATTTGACTCTTACAAGTTTTATTGATTAGAAAAAAAAAACAAAACAACTAAATTCATTTCCCAGTCTCCTCCCATATCAAAAAAAGCCAGTTTAAGGAAAAAATAAAACCTCAGATTTGTTTTGTTGGATATTTATTTTATTAGTGATGTGGAATATTTTTTTTTCATATGGATGTTAGTCATTTGCATTTCTTTGAAAAACTCTATGTCCTTGAGAACCCTACCTATATTTTGAAAATTAAAAAAAATATATAGCCATCCCAGGAAACTGATTTTTATAAATTTTGTTTTTATTTTGTTGTTGGTTTAAAGAAGCTAAAGAAAAATCGAAAGAATGGTAAAATATTAATCAAATAATAACCATTGTTAGTGTTTTTTAAAATTGAATACATTTTAGTACTTACCATGTTTAAGATAATATGTGAGGCACTTGGAGGAATACAGTAGCGTTTTATTTTATTTGTTATACATCTGAAGTACTGACATTTATTTTAATGAATAATTTTAGAAAAAAAAGTGAAAGACTAAAATGGAACCTTCACAAGAGAAAGATCCACCATCGGGGTGAAAATATTAATACTGTTCATCTAGACTGAATCCTGGAGGAGACAAAGGAGGAGGAAAACTATCATAGAATAAATGTTCAAACTAGAAGGATTCTAGAGATGATCTAGTCCAGGAGTGGGGAACCTGCAACCTTGAAGCCATATATGTGGCCCTTTGACTAACTCCTTGAGAATTTGTTCTGTGAAGTTTGTATTCAGTCAAAGGGCTGCACTTGAGGACCTAGAGGGCCACATGTGGTTTTGTGGCTACAGGTTCCCCACCCCTGATCTATTTTAGAGATGAGAACACCTAGGCCCAGAGGCCTCACATTAATAGTTGTTAGCCTAGAATCCAAGTGGTCCACTTCACTACCCCACAGTACAGACAGAAAGATGATATTTATGCCAAGAATCCTTGCCCAACTCTGTCCTCTCCTTGTTTCTAAAACTACCCCCCCATTCACTAAACATTTTGTTTTGAACCTCTCTAATATATTCATAATAAAAAGTTATTACAGTTATGTTTGTTTCTTATATCCTTATTAGACTAAGCTCCATGAGGGAGGGAAGGAAGGAAGGAACTAGAAAGGAAGGAAAGATGGATTTATTAAGTGGCTAAGGTGCCTGCCACTATACTAAGCACTTTGATATATATATATTATCTCATTTCATTCTCACAACAGCTCTGGTGAGGGAGGTGCTGTTACTGTCTCCATATTACAATTGAGGAAAGTGCAGTAGACAGAGGTTAAGTGACTTGCAAAGGTCACTCAGCTAGTAAGTGTCTGAGGCTAGATTTGACCTCAAATCTTCCTGACTCCAGACCCAATGCTCTGTCCGCTAGGGCCACTGTTTCCAAGCAATCATGCCATCTTAAGGACATATTATAAATGGTCATAGTCTTTATTTTACTAATAGCTGCTTAAAAAAAAAGTGTTGATTGTTTACTCTGGCTAGAAATTGCTCTGGTTCTTTGTGTTCAAGGTCGTCTTCCTAAAGTTTATTATTTATTCGCTCCGCAGCACAAATAATACCCCTGAAGATGATGTCTCAAGTCGATACTCTCGAATGGACAGGGCAGGGTCTAGGTACAGCAGGGATCCAGCTGCTTCTGCTAATTTAGTCATATTGGAAAAGAAAATTGAAGATCTTGAAAAGGTATGGCCTCAAGATTATCTTAGATGGTCTGATGTCTTAGCATGACCCTATCCTCTGCTCAGAGAACTAGAAGACATACTAAAAACCAAATAAATACTGTAGGGGTTTTTGTCCTTGAAGAGAGGTATAGGAAAAACAGGAAATAAACCTGAAAGAGAATTTGGGATGAGGGGTGGGGGTGGAGGTAAGTAGGAACAGAAAGTAGCTTTAACATTTGGAGCAGCTTAGCCAGTTAGTGTCACAGTGTTGTGCTTTGGTTTTGTTAATATCTAGATATCTAGCCCCATGTAGTGATTAGGTTTTTATTTTCCCGTTTCCGCCCCTCATTTACCCTCCTGTTGCTGATGACACTTTACAAATGAAATCCATTAGTTTTAGAGTAGGTTTTGATTATATAATGTCCTACAACTTACCGTGGTAGGTCAAATGGGTCGCTAGTTGTATATTCAATATACAAACATAGTACCAAATCGTTGTAGGATTTGCATCCAGAGCTTAAGTAGATTTTGGTTTCTGCCTTCAGAAAACTTCCTACTAGAAAATTCTGGCTGGATTTGGAGGGTCCCCAAAAACAGTTCAAAGAAGATTCTTTTTGTCCCCCCAAAGGGGGGATGTTTCCATGCACATTCAACTGTTCAAATTATTCGCAGTGTTAATGTTGTTACCCATGTCCTTGAAAAGACCTTTTCAGCCAATGGACTAAGCATGTGAAATCTGTTCTAAGCAACTGAAACCAAATAACTCCCTCTGATACCAGAAGAACGGCCCAAATAGAAATTTCATTTTAGAGAATTGTGATTTAATGTGAAAGTAAATTCTCAAGCTTCAACATCAGCATGTGCTTAGAATTGTTGTTTTCCTTGAGGGTTTCAGTTTTCTCTAAATAATGATGATTTCCAAAGTGTAAATTACATAGTAGACTTTTTAAAACAATTAGACAGTGAGTAAAACATTTTCTGGGCAATTAATAGTAGAGATATGTAGCCTAGTCGGATAAAGGGGGCAAACACACCATTGAGAAATCGATTAGCATTTGTTAGAGACTTGGCTAAGCCTTGATTTTAATCTGCCAGATTCCTTTTTAGCTTTTGCATTCCCTTCATTCTCCTTTCCTCCTGTGGGTGAATTCTCTCACACACCTAATTCAACAAAAGGCAGTTTTAAGTAAGCCACCTTGGGGGACCTCTAAGTAGGAATGCTGAATATTTCTTAGTGACTTGAACAGATGTGACAAGTACGCAGGTTTTTTTTTCTTTAAGAAGACCATAAACATTCTTTTAGTATGTAAATCCACTTTTGTCCAAATAATATTTGTTTTTTTTTTTTTCTGTGTCTACTAGGAAATAATAAAAGAGAGACAAGAAAACATAAGACTACAGAAACTGATTCAGGATAAAGAAGAATTAATTGGAAAACTCAAAGAAGAAATTGATTTATTAAATAGGGTAAGTACTGTAGACATCTCAGTTGTATGGTGTGGTCTTCTAATTATGGGAGAATGCATGAAGACATTAAATATGGCCTTATCATATTAATGAATTTATGCTTTGCTTATGGATTCTGCCATCTTATAGATGGCTTATGGTAGAAATCATACCTTTGATGATTGCCACGTGACTACATAGCTAATTTAATTTGCTGCTTGACTGTGATTTATGGGATGGCAATGTGGCTTTGAGGGAAGGGCCCTGAATTTAGAATGTCTCAGATTCTATAACTACCTACATGTGTGATCTTGGACAAGTCATTTAGCCGCTGCTGGACTAGGTGATGTTGTTGTAAGGTGGCATAGTAGATAGAGTGCCGGGCCTGGTATTCCTGAGTTCAAATCCGACCTCAGACACTTAGTGTTGTTTTATTTTGTTTTCTTTTTCTTTCTTTCTTTCTTTCTTTCTTTCTTTCTTTCTTTCTTTTTTAAATTTATTTAGGCTGTGTGACCTTGGCAAGCCACTTAACCCTGTTTGTCACAGTTCCTCATCTGTAAAATGAACCAGAGAAGGAAATGGCAAACCACTCCAATATCTTTGCCAAGAAAACCCCAAATGGGGTCACACAGAGTCAGGCATGACAGAACACCACCACCACAATCAGTAGGTGCCTGAGGCAGGACCTGAACCAGGGTTTTAATGTTTGAAAAATAACAGTAGGATGTTTGCTCACTTACTCGGCTGAGTTATGCTACCCCTTTTGTTCTAAATGGTTGATCCAAATGGCGGTGCTTGATCCCGTATTGGATGTGAGGACTGTGCCCTACCTCCCCCACTTCCCCACCTAGGTCTTTGGGAAACAGAGCTCCCAAGTGCTGTTCTGGGGGGCCTTGAACAAATCATCTCACCTCTGTGGGCCTCAGTTTGCTTAGCTGAAATGAGGGGCATGACAGGCGACCTCTCAGATGCCTTCTTGTGCCATCCTCCTCCCTCTGCTACTCAGTATACTCCCTTCCCATATCCCCAACCCCTCCATTTTAGTTTTCTTTTCATGCTTCAGAATGATTTGCTCACCATCCCTATGCCAGCTCTTGCTGGCCCAACCTCTCTAGCTTTACACTAATCAATCCCCCACCTTTCTTCAGTATACCTGCATCTTTCATTTGTCCACAAGATTACAATGTAGTCGGTATTTTGAGAGGGCCTCCTCTGTGTAAGTACCACGCTCAGTGTTGTGGGCTATCTAAAAGTAAAATGCCTGTCTTCAAGGAGTTTACAATCCAGTCATGATGATTACTGCAATGTGTAATTTCATGATATGGTTAACTTGCCAGCAAGTAAGCAAGTAATTTGTTTATTCAGTAATTTGAGTTTTGGGAAAATAGCCAAAAGCAGTTGAAATTTTAGTGTTTTTTTTTTAACTGCAAATCTGTCTACAAAGTCTTTGCTTTTACTTAATTTTAATGAATGAAAATCTGTGCACAATGCCTTTAGATTTTTAAAAATTCGTTTGCACTGTTATCTGAAGATTATCCAAGCTTCTTAGAATGCTGCTGTCTTAAAATATTTGTGACTTGAGATTATTGTATTTCCATTCTCACTGATTTAAATTGACAGATTAAATCTGTGATCTTCCTTGAATCATTATTTAAATTGTTGATTTCTGTTGGTATCCCCAATGGATTTTCTAGTATTTTTGAGTGAGGGCTCTGTCTGAAATGTTCAACTGAAGAGAGTGGTAGGTTTCCTTACAATCCTCATAATAATTCTCATTTATAAAGTACTCAAAGGTTTACAAAACACTTTACTCACAACAGCTCCATGAGGTAGGTAGTGCGAGTGTTATCATCTTCATTTCACAGAAGAGGAAACTAAGTCACAAAGACTTTCAGTGACTTGGTCAGGGTCACATAGAGTAAGTGGCTGGGCCATAATCTGAACTTTGTTTATTTAGGATCATAATTCCGGAGCTGGATGGTATCAGAATTTAGTCCATTTCTTATTTTAGAGATGAGAAAAATTCAGCCACCCTGGCCCTAAATTAAGTAAACTACCCAAAATCACACAGGTTTTAGCCTCAGAGGCAGGATCCAAACCCAAACCCCAGATCTCCAAAGGTAGTGAGTGCTCTTTTTCACTATAACACATTGCCTCCTTAAACTGGGGAATGATGGAGGGTATGGGAAAAGAGATGGGATGAGATAAGTGATATAAATTTAGTTTTTTAGTTTTGCTGGGGAACCTTCCTTCTCCTACAATATAATGATTTTGTCATTAAACAGTTAAAATGCTAGCCTTACTTTAATAAAGTATTATTACCTCTTTCTCGAAGTTGCTTTAATTTGATAACTGTTTTCCTTCCTCCTTAAGGACCTAGATGACACAGAAGATGAAAATGAACAGCTAAAGCAGGAAAACAAAACCCTTTTGAAAGTGGTCGGACAGCTGACAAGGTAGAAAGAAGATCCCAGCCTCAGTGAGGAGAATGATTTGTAAAACTACTGATTGAATGTTGAGGTCAATGCTAGGGCAATATTTCCCATGCTGCAATACATTAAAATAACTAAGAGTATATTTATTTCTTGGAAACTCATGGATGTTTATTTTCATAATATTTTTCTTTTTCAGTATCAATAAAAATAAGGTATCCACCTCATTTCATGAATAAGCAACATTTTTCAGTTATTGAAATAGTTGATAAGGGGCTAGGTAACATATGTGGTCCAAAATGGCTCAGACTATGTCTTCGCCTCTGGTGATATATCTCCCTCCCATCCTCAAAAAAAAAAAAAAAAAAGTAAAGAAATAGAAGCATAAAAGCTTTGTTTACATGGATGCAAATATATTTGGGGAGTTACTTGCTGTTTGAACAGCTGTAAAGTGCTGATGCCTTATTAGTGATGTGTAACATTTTTGCATATTGATGGCTCACTCTGACAAAAATCTTGGTATACCATTGTTCGTGGGGGTTTGTTTTTACTTATTCTAAGAGATTAGAATAATAGGCTAGCTCTGTTCTGTATTGCAGTCATCTTTTTAAAGGAAAGCTGTTATGAAATTACAGTCAATGTCATGTAGTAGAGTTCAGCTAGATATAATTTTTTTTTTTTTTTTTAGAGAAGTACTTGAATTGTGCTCCATAGTAAGTACAAATTTACCGTCTTGGGTCTGTATATTGAGAATTTAAAGAAAGCGCTTTAACTTCTGCAAAAACGTACAAATGTAATGTTTATGTAAATGTTCTTTATGAAGTTTGTAGGTACTATTTTTTATTGTTTGGAGAAGGTTTATTAGAACATGTTTATAAAGAGAAAGATAAGAGAACATGTTTGTAAAAAGGAAAAAAAAAACGGAAGTTCGTTGTTCAAGCCTATACACACTTTCAGTTTATAATAAAATACGTATTCTTAACATCTTTTTGCCTTAAAATAAAAATGAAAATGTTTATCTGGATTTAAACAATTATGGTATTACATGAGCATTAACTATTACTAAGCCTAATGTCAATTTCATTCCGTGTTGTCTGTTACTATAATTGAGCTAAGATCCAATGTGATGTATTTTGTCCTTTTCTAACTAGGGATTTCCCACCCCAAATTGGAAGCAGTTCTATTCGTTATTTTGGGATTTTAGGAACAAATAAGAATATTTTTCTTTTAAAGATTTACAAGTTGTGAACATATCATTAACTTGAATTTAATAATAGTGGAATGCTCTTTTGGGGAGGAACGTATTCTAATACTCTAGAAATAGCCTAACATTTGGATCTGTTTTGAACCTTTAACATCAATACAGAAATTTTCCTGATTTTTCTCAGCATTTCTACCTTCTATAGATAATGTCCCAGAGTGCACATTTCAGGTCTAGACCAAGAGAGAGCAGATTCTGGCTACATCATTTAACCCCCATCCCTTTGGTTATCTCCCACCATGCCTGTCCTTTGTACTGAGAATAGTTGTTTTTACTTAACTGTAGTTCCTCCACAATCTTATTTCTAGGCACTGTGCCTAGAAACTCCATACACAAAGACAAAAGTAAAATGGTTCCTGCCCTCAAGGTGTGTATATTCTATTGGCTCGTAAATTGATGCTGGATAATTCATAGGTTAGAGGTTAAATGTTTTAGACCATTGCCATAGGTTTGGCAGTTTCCAACGTGTGTGTCATAGAGTTGTAAAACAGGCTCAACTGCTAACTTGTAGAAGTTGCCGCTCACTGTCTTTGGCCTCCTGAATTCCTCCTCTGGCCACCCATGGTTGAGTGACAGAGATATCAAGAAAGTACAGATTCATACATACATAACCCACTCACCCATATCCCATGAATCCTCCAAGACATGGAAATACCCTATGAAATTAGCGGCCGTTTACGCTTCTGGGTGGTTTTTTGGTTTTTTTGGGTTGTTGTAGGTGGTGTGGTGGTGGTGGTGGCAGTGGTGATTCTTTAAAGTTAAAACTCATAAACTTACCTAAATAAATCAAATTTAACGAGGTTCCAGAGGCATGTGTGATTCTTACAAATTTTCCACTTGATCCCCATGTTGGGTGAAATTTCAAAGCATGTAGTTTTGTACTGTCCTGGCCACTGATGTCGTAAAGTTAGTTGTTGAATATTCTACCAAAGATGATGATGGAAATGTTTGCAGCAATGACAGTGACTTGTCTACCAACATGACATGCTGCCTGTCCTTCCAGCTATCAGAGAAAAGACAAGATTCATCCACCAGGTCATTCATCATTTTTTCATAGGTTCTGCTTGTTAAGAATAATCATAGTCATAATAACAAATAAAAAATTGAACCAGCATATTTTATTAACTCAGGAGAGGATGTCACTGGGGAAGAAGGAGGAGAGGACCAAGATATTGAATGGTCCATTTTGAAGTAAAGCTTTTGAATTTTTGCAGCTGAGAGATTCTTCTCAATTAACATTTTACATTAAGGCGTTCTTTAACCTGTTTGTAGAACTTAGGTATCTGCTTCTATCAAATATACATACTGATTCCCTAGCAGAAAATAGGTATTGGTCGTATCACCAATGTCAAAAAAAAAAAGACAGCACCACAGTCAAAAATGACAGCTTCTCATGAACATTTATTCGTTCCTCCAAGTGTACTATGTTCAAAAACGATTCAAAGCAGCTCCTTTCACATACACTTTTTAGGACTGCTCTGATAGCAAGCTCAGCAATCTTTCAAATTACCTTCAACTTAACTTTTGAAGATCTGACTCCATTTTCTTTTGAAAGGTATTGTTGCATAATTTTTCGATACAGGGACTGGACCATTGATTTCCTTGTCTATGAAACCCCAAGATAAGGAAACTCCCTTCCTCAATGCAAATCAGCACCCTCCCTTAGATTTATAAGATGAAAGGGTTGCTGGGAAACAGAGAGGTTGAATGACTTGGACAGGGTCCAAGAGTGTTGCCTAAAACACTGACAGGTTGAGTGAGAGCCAGTGTGTGCCAGAAGCAGGCCATGAACCCAGGTCTTCCTGACCTCTATACCAGGTCTCCATCCACTCCACCATGATGCCTTTTAATTTTATGAGACACTTGATCATTTTGTTGCCCTAGAATTATCTTTATAAGGGATGGCTTATGGGGATATATTTTTCTTTTAAAAGACTAAGTGGTTATTAAATGTTGACTCTTTTTGTTAGCATTTTTTAAATTAATCTGGATAAATCCATCCAAGTATACCCAATACAATAGCCAGTGCTGTCAAAGAGCCACACTCCAAAGCTGGTGAAAAAATATAGCCAGTTTGACCTGAAGGACAACTCAAGCAAAATACTCACCTGTAAGGGGAGAACCTAACAGTGGGGCAAGACTTTGTTATCCAGATAAATCTGTGTTTTTGAGATGACGCCATTTGGGTTTTCACTAATATCGTTGTCAACAATGTAGTAGAATACTGTGGGATCATCCACATGCACCACTCTGGAACAGATCGACGTACGAAGACCTTGCAGGTATAATGGACCAGGTCAGTTGGGCCATTTAAAATTTTTTTTTTTAATTTTGATTTCCATTTTAATTTCCTTGACATAGTATGGAGGATAAGCTGTAGGTGATCATGGTCCTGTTGCATGTACTTAACACAGATTTTCAAAGTCAAGGCCTCGGATATTTGTATCTTGCTTTATAGTGCATCAATTTCATCAAGGGATGAAATGTACCTTCTCAGTATCCCATTAGCAACATTATCCAATAGAACCAATTCTCTAATAGTGAAAGCAGAAGAGACTAAATTTTAAAATGCCACATGGTGATACTTATTCTAGTCAGTCAGTTTAAAAAATAGAATTTGTTAATAGTGGAATTCAAACTAAAACGTAAAATCCCATCAAGCCAGGATCCGCAATGCAAAATGTGTAGGCATTCTTGAACTTTTAGTTAGATATCCTAGACCTATGATTTCATTAGTGTAGGGAACCTTTGGTTAGGAACCCTTAACCAATGGAGATCAATAGCTGTTAAGCATCATAGTCCTCGAAAGCTGCTTGGGGTAAGGAGAGGTTGAGTTACATGGCTAGTATTACACTGGACGGTATGTGTCAGAAGTAGGCTCTTCCTGAGCCCAAAGTTTTGGACCATGTATTTGATGAACATATGTTTATAGACTTTTCTGGGATATTTTGAAAATAAATTTGGATATGCTAAAATTAATTTACTTTTCTAAATAAGAAAATTTTATGATTCAAAGATTTTTAGGTTAAATGGAGTCTTATTCCCCCAAAATTTATTTTTATGTCCTGGAAATGGATGGTTATAAAAGTTACTCTTACAGTTTATTGCCTTGAGTACTTTTAGAATTTGAATTATTCCTTAGGAGGAGTAATATTTGTCCCTTTTTGGGGGGGGGTACCATTGGAATTTTCTCCCCATGATTGAGGAAACAGCCTCATGATATTGTGGCAAAAGCTAGTCAAATATTTGACTTTCTGTTTTCCATTAAGCTGGAAGCCACAGGTTTTCTGAATAGCCAATGACCAATGTGTAGCTCAGAGACAGATGGAGGCAGATGAACCAAGGTCCACATTTCTCTTTCTCAACCTTCCCATCATGTATTTGTTCCACTGAATTTTCCGCAGTTGTATCAGATTTTGAAGATTTGAATGAAAACACTGATTTTTTTTAAGCCAAAACAATCCTGTAAGTTGTGGGAAGCCATGATAGAGACTCTGTCTTGTAGAAGATAGTGGACAAGATTCTTCCAGCATGCAGATTACTCCCCCAAGAACAAACCAGGCAGTCTTGAAGCATCCTGACTCTCTGGGGCTAGTCGGGTGTCTAGTAGGGATTGACTAGGATTGGTTAATAGCAGGTAAGAAAAAAACCAAGTGACATAGCACCGCTTGTAAGGGACAAAGATTTACTTGGTCGTAGATGTCATCTCCAAACACAAAATACGATGTTTTGCAACCACTTGGCCAATCTGGCTGTTTGCACTGCCCAGTTGAAACCATTTGGAGTCCTGTGTTCCCTAAGTAGTACAGGTCATAGGATAAAGCATGCAGGCATTATTTGCTTCAGCTTTTGCCCACGTTTTTAAGCTCCTCCAAAGTGTCTAAATTAGTCACAGAGAATAAGTAAAGACTTGGGATTTTACCAATTGAAGGAGGCATATTGAATTTAAATTATGTTAAGGTAGAGCTACTCTGTTGGGAGAAGAGTCTTGTAATACTTATAGTAATAACTTATAGCTAACATAAATATAGTGCTTACTGTTTGTAAAGCACTGTGCAAAGCCCTTTAAAATTATCTCATTTGTTTCTAACCGTGGGAGGTGCTTTTTTTTTATTATTCCTGTCTTAAAACTGAGGCAAATGGAGGTTTAGTGATTTACCCAAGGTGGCATAAATAGTTGGGTGTCTGAGGCTAAATTTGAACTCGGGTCTTTCTGATTCCAGGGCTGGCACTCTCTCCACTGTGCCCCGATTCCGGAGGGGAGGGAAAGGGAGAAAACTGCAGCACTTGCCAAATGAATGAAGCTGCAAGTGTGCTTTAAACTTGAAATAATATCCTATCATGGACTTACTCTCTGTCAGTATTAGTGTTGCACTCTCAAGCATTTATATAGAGCTACTATCTACAGTATGTAAGAAACACATAGGAAATATAATCTGGTAGTATCTGTGATATTAAAATTATTTATTGGAGTTCCACAAAAATTACATAACTGCTGTTCTGAATACTCAATGAATTTTTTTTTAAAGTAATCTTTTTTGCTTTCTTGAAAAATTTGGCTGCCCTATTCAGGGTTCTGGTAATTGCGTTATTCTACAAAATCTGAGCCAGAGGCTTCTGCTGCTGGTTGTGTCTACATGAAGCCAAAAGCATCTTCCATGGGAAAAAAAGAAATCAGTCCATTCAAGTGTGTCCAGATGGTTGCTGTTGTGTAAAAACATCTGGGTAATTATCTGAATGTACTGGTGTTCTATAGACATCTTCTTTGTCATTCTTACTGCTTTTAAAGCCATTCATCACAGATTCATTAACTGTATCAGAGTTCACTTCAAATATTTTAATTTTATGCATGTGAAAAGTTGAAATGTCATTCAAGAGATAAATTTTCATTTTAGTTTTGAACACGGGTTAATTTCATTTCTTCCAGTAAGATCATGGAAATCCTCACCATCAGAGGTTACTTGTGAAATGAAAGGATAGTGCTAATATAATAAAAATTTTATAAATCTTGTGCTGAAACTGGTGTGTGGCTTGCTTTTTTATTTGTATAGGGCATGCTATGCTTGAGGATTTTTTTTTTAAACCAAAAATATCCAGTTGATAAAAACTGAATACATTCACAGCTGGGCTTCTTAAATAAACCAGGAAGTCTATATACACATTTCACTACGACACTGGTATTCTAGGGAATTGCCTTGTTTACTTGTTAAGACCATCTGAATAAGTTCTTAAAATTCAAACAGACATACTGGGAAGTTCTTCACTGTCATATTTTGTAAGAAACAAGCAGGGGTCTGGGAATGTAAGAATCCGTTCTTTGTTTCTGCCGTGAATCGTTTATTTAACCTTTTACCTAATTGTGTCAGTTCCTTTCATACACCTGCACGGGCTAATCAGCCTTCCTCACTTGCCAGAACTCAAATTAATCTCAGTAATGCCATACATGTCTAACATAGGAACAAGCATCCTTCAGTCTATCAGCTGAGATAATGCCTAAACCCCTTATATAAGCGCTCACTCCCTTAGTGCACTTCTTAAGACATTCCTGCAAGATCCTGCATTCTTAATGTAACCCAGCCCCCTTATCTTGGGCTTCCATCAAATCCCTGTTCCTTTTTTTTTTTCCTATTTAGCTCATACAGTGTAAAGCTGTCTATAAAATCTGTTTTATCGTCAGCAGCTATAAACTACCCACATGTTTTCATTATCACTTTCCTTTGGTCTCCCTTCTTGCTACCTCAGCAGAAGGTTATATTTTTCCTAGTCAGGTGCTTTCAAAAAGTATTGTGGGACCTTCTGTA